CATTTGATTATGTATTACATATTCGTTGGGGGCATTACTTATAGTACAATATTGGCCATGAGAAACGGGTCAATTTGTATAAGTACTCTGCAATTCGTTTAAAAAACACTTGTTGAACACGAGAAAACGGTATTTTATATTTTTGACGGATCCTCTTCACACATACAGCGCCGCCGGTGCGTGCTTGTATGCGTATGCCGCCGTCGGTTGGCGCACAATGTTTTCGTGAGATCTATTTTTCAATGGATATTATATTTTGTCTCGGAATGCGCGGCGCACAATAGACCACGACGACGGGCGCCATGCGCTATCTTATCTGTTCCACTTGTCCGTCATTCGGAACGTGTTATTATTTTTATTTATAAAAATATCGTCAAATAATAATAAAAAAGAAGATGTGAAGATGCCTCGGTTTTTGTCCCTCAAAGCCTAAATCAATTTCAACACAAAACAAAAATGCCTAATATAATAATAATTATTTAGGTGTTTCACTTGCATACACACACGACCACCATCACGGAATATGATATTATTATTATTATTGATTTCTCGCGCCTCTTCCATATTTAGATAACGTGTTATTACAAGAACATAATATTTTGAATGTTTGGTCGATTTTGTCCGGCGGCCAAAAACCGTCTCGTGTGGTATTTCCGTCTGTCACGCCTCGCGCCGATCCGGTTGTTATTTGCACGCGACCCGTCGTGCCTTAATAATCGGCTGTCGTTGAGCTTGTCCATGTAGAATATAAACATCAAATCAAATCTCACGAAATTCGGGGGTCTGGTCTTCCTGTTGTCTGAATTCTTCGAATATTCGGCTTCATTGATGTACCTAATTCGTTCGTTTAGCTTAAGATTATTAGCTTGGAACAAAAAATTACCATAATATTAGGAATTGCCGGTTACCGCATTACCGTAGTGCTTATGATAATCAAAATATCATAACGGGGGAACGTTATTGTTTCAATTATTATTATAATGAAAACATAACAATAATAAAAAGGTTACTGGCGATTTTCTTTTAGTTTTAAATGCTATTTAATACTTTTTCCCTCAAAGAAAAAAAGAGTTATTTTTATTAGAGCGATACATTACTGCGTTTTTATTGGACAAACTATTGAACGACAATGACGTGTAATAGCCGTTAACGCACACCACGGTTAAACTATTTGTGATAGCATTGAAACCAAAATAACAGCATTGATAACATGACAATACGCCACTACAAATGGTATCGAATTTTACTTTTCCTTTGCTGTTATAATAATGTTTTTATTATTTTTTTGTATTTCATATTATGACCAAAATATGATAAGGTTAAATATTTGTTTGAAGAATCCTACAAAAATGATAAAATTTTAATTTTTTTTGGTTTATTTTAATTGATTAAGTCTTCGGTGAATAATTAAAAATAGTTCGTTAGATGTTTTATTCATACCTGCCGTATGGTTCAATAACTTTTTGCATCATTTGAATACTATTCGAGCATACATTAGTATGTATGCTTGAATGGACAACGCCTTTTCATCAATAAAATCCAAATACCCGCTATTATAAAATTTAAAAAAATAGCAATATTGACAAGTAATGTGTTGTTAAAAAAAAATGTATTGATTATAAACCTCAAAACCAAAAAAATACCTTTTCAGCTCTGCCAAAATACTTGTATTTAGAAGAATGCGTCGAAGTCCTCGAGATGTTATGCGAAGTGTGCCATTCGTTTGACTTGGGAACTTCAGGAATTTAGCGATTAGCTTCTTGTACTTCCGTACTTCCTAGTCGAGCACTTTACAATGATTCACACACTCGATAAATGTATGACATTTTTTCGCAAACGCCGTAAAAAAAATTGTTTGAGCGACACCGCGTGGGCAGTTCGGCGTTATCGTGGGAATTTATTGTTATCCCCAGAAAGAAAAACTTGTGCGACAACGGCCATATTATTGTATAATACTTATTATTTTTATATTTCGGCCACACACGATTCCCAAGCTAATTACCTCAAATGTAATTTATTTATTATACCGGCATCGTTGTTAACTAAAGAACTACCTTTTGCAAAATAAATAACATCTGTCATTTTTGTTGTTGATCATGCACCGTTCAATAGACACCTTAGGCCGCCAGGTTCGCAATTAGCGCCGAGTTCTACTCATTATTATAGTCTCGAAAGAGATTTTGTTTGATTAGTATAATGATATAAATAAAAAAAAATATACCGCATACGAATCTCATAGAAATTCAAATTCAAATAAATGGAATTTCTCAACGCAAACACACACCCGATGGCGCGGTGCCAAACACATCGCGGCCGTGTTTTGATTATGTATTTACGTATTAACTTAATAGACTCTCGTTTTTTATATTCTATCCCACAGTGTCCTTTCTTAGCGCTTCTAAACTATGAGGCACATTTTCACTAATGTAAAAATCTATCCACGTGGTTTGTCTATCGTCTGTTGTCCTTATACTCTCGACGATAAAGCTGAACTCTTGCTGTTTGCGCGTGCAGCCCACTAACTACATGATCTGAACACTTTAGATTTTATTTCGCAAACCACAGCCTCTGTTTTTTTGTGACTTAATGGCTCGGCACTATATCGGTATCGTAAAAACAAAATTAAAAACAACCCGAAAACCCTATCGTTCGTTCGATTATTATTAGTTATATATGTGTACATTATATGCACACACACACATGCGTTTCGGGTTTAACAACATTCCAACGTCGTCGTCGTCGACCCCCCGGTCCATTGTCGGCGGCAGTTTCGGTCCCTCGTCTTGTTGTACTTCTTCTTCTCTGTCTAACCTAAACCAACCCGGTTAATTCAGCCGACCCGAAGCTCCACCTACAATAGTCTTACGTGTATAACACCCTACACAGGACCGTCGTATGGACAGGTTCAATCTCGCAATAAAATCTCTCACCTCTCCCCGTTTGGGTCGTTAAAAAGATTCCCCTCCTCGTGCGGTGGTCGGTGTGTGTGTGTGTGGTGAGAGCGAAAGGATAATAATAATAATAATAATATAATTGACCGGGTAAAAATAACATTATGTATGTATCGTATCGCTGTTGCTGGGATTGGAAGTCGGATAAGGTAAATGAAGACGCCGCCGCCCGGGGGCACATTCCACAGGGCGGTGGTTGAAAGAGGGTGTTATCACACACTCACACACTAGCAATTGCACGACGTGTTCTCGCCGCCGACCAATTATAGTATACCAATATAATATTATTAATAATATGTATTTTCGGTTTTATTATGGTATATTATCATCTTACATGGCCGGCGTTTAATATTACCGCGTGTATATGTGTATAGGCTATCCTATGGCAGTAGTAATATATTATTATGATGGACGTTAAGAAGCTTCCACGTAATGTGCCTCGACGAAAACACGCACCGGACACATACATCACACGCGCGTTGAGAAAGGTCAGAAAAACACCGAGGAGTTCGTCCTCCCAGGAATCCGGCGGCGGCGTCGGTCCGGAAACCGTGTTGTTAATGTTTACACAAAATAATCTCCTTCTCTCTTATTGTCGTTTTTTTATTATCCTTAATGATAATCATCGTAAAATTAATATTTCCTCATTCGTTTTTTTTTAATATCACACGCAAACAGCGCCAACTTATATCCTTAAAGCTAGCCGTTTATAATAACAATTAATTTTTACCAAAAAAATAATAATGTACCAAGACATCTATTTACCTATGTACCTCTGACAATAATTTTCTCTAAAAACGAAATACACAATTATGTAGTTTTTCATTTTGGCAGAAATTTTTGTTAATATTCTTTACAGTATTAATCAAACATTCAAATTTTATCTTTTTTGAAAAATTATAGGTTGCTATCATCTTATGAAAACTGAAAGGTAACATACGTATTTAATTAACTTTTTTAATTAAGAATAATTCGCTGAACGTTTTGACTGGAGGTGGAGTGCGGACGAGTAATGCGCGCAGATAATAATAATTTTATACTTTACTAACATTAAAAATAGTTCTTTATAACTGGTTAAATGCTATTAAAGGATATTCCGCTTCATAAACTATTCATTCTTAAACACAGTAATTTAGGCATATATGGGTAAAATACATTTAAATACGTTTTGATTTAATTAATTTTTCATTTTAAATTTTTAATTTTTTTGTCGAGAATTTAAAAAATTAATGTTATATTTGTCCAATAAAACTTTGTTGTGTCTTACTACAAATAAATAACGCTCACTCGTTTTTCTTCTTTATTTACCAATTGAAAATGTGTGTGAACGTGAGTTTGGCTAGCCCCAGGCAATTGTCGCACATTACCAATGATAAAATCATTGGGCAATTATTTATGATAGCGTTTTTAGCGTGTGATGTGCAATAACCGAGCGTCATTGTAACAAATTGGGGTAATTATAGTTAAAAAAAGAAAATAACTAAAAACAATAATGTGTTTTTTTATGCAGCCGGCATTGATGTTCGTCGGACACAAGTATATTAAATAATAATGCAGTAGTACTATTTTTGTGTATATGGTTACTTCTTCAAGTCTGTTTTCACACTTCCATAATCCCCGCTTTGTATTGTAAAAAAAAAACACTGTATGTAAATTGTAACACGAGCCGGCCAGTCAGACAGCAGCAACATCATCATACATAATATTGTGATGATAAATGCGTTCGGTGTTGTGCGGCTATTAATCAGCGTGCATCGCCCATCCGGTTGGCTGTGTAGATCGGGTTAATAACGAGGCGTGCAGTAAAAGTTAAGGTCCATAAATTAGACAATGAGTGCCGTCGTCGTAGGAAGCGAACGAGATGATAATACGGTTCCGCACCCGTTTAGGTTTTTAGAGGTGTCTTCTCCACGTTTTCACTTGTCGATACGAGACAAGTTCATTACCGCCGTCCACATGATTAGCACAACCTCCACTTGTATTTCAGTTATTTTGCTGTCTGTTTGGATTTTGCTAAATTTATTTAATTTTTTTGTTTGTGTGTTTTAGGTTTGCGAAGAGCAAAAGTGTCAAGAAGACGTGTTCCCGTTGGCAATCAACTACATGGACAGGTTCTTGTCTCTGAACCCAATAAAAAAAAATCACCTACAGCTGTTGGGCACCACTTGCCTAATGGTAAGCTCCAAGCTCCGCGAGTCCGACTGCCTGTCCGTTGACCTCCTGGTCCTGTACACGGACAACACAATCACGGCCGAAGAGCTGCTGGTGAGTGCCTACATTCTATGATATTTTTACTATTCTGCGTGCCAAAAACTCGTTTTGTTTACCATAATTTGTGGTCGTTCTTTTAATATTCCAAACAATTAATTATTATGAAACACACGATTTCGTCAACCATTTTTGTTTTCCCTTAAGAATTTATCAACCGCGTGTGCGTTGGGGCCACGATATACGTGTTTTGGAGAAACCGTGTATTAAAAAATTTTTAATTAAATCGGCAACGTGTTGGTATTTTACATAGTAAACCGCTTCTGTTGATAGGAACGCGCATAAAAATGAGATATTATTATTCCAGTAATAGGCTTTTATTTTGTTAACCGATCAATACATGTGACACTTGTGATGAACATATATATCATAAGTAGCTAAAAAGTTTAATTTTTCATGGCCAACGCGAGCGGGCGTTTAATAGTATTTCACTTGCGTGTCCGACCTACTATTGTTTTCACGAAATATGTTAAGTAAAAATAAAATTGTGAAAAAAATTGCATTTATCTTTTTGTATGAAATTCTGGCGAAATAAGATCCTCTCCGAGTTTATTATGTTTATAATATAATAGTATACTTTGGTCATCCTTATAGTCTTTGGGGAATTAATATCGTTGTACAAGGCTCGTTCGGCCGACCGACAAAACACACAATACCCGAAGTACCCTTTTTTTCTCTTATACATTGCGTAATCTCTTTGTGAGGTTCCTACTTCTTAATCTCAGTTTTTATTTTTTTACCACATCCAACTATGAGCGTTCCTAATAACAGGTTTCCGTTTATTCTAATAGCCTCTGATCGATATCTGTCTATAGATAAGAAGAAAGTGCTTTCCCAAGATTTTGCTTGTTTGATTGTAAAGTCGTTGTAACCTAACTCCAACCTAGGTTGTCGGATTTCCACATGATATAACTAATCCCTTTCCATCGTCCTGTATGATTTGATTTGTTTGATTTGTCTGTGGTGGATGCGTCCTTCGTGATTTATTAAGCCATTGTATATATTTTTATTTTGCGCTAGGCATAACATGGCACCACACACAACTCAAGACATTTCAATAGGTGATTTAATTAAATTAAAGATGTTGACAACAATAATGATAATGATTAATGACAATGAAAATAATTAGAACACTTAATCGGGGGGTGGGGCGATAAAATATATAAAATACAATATTGTACAACGCTGGTAAAACTTATCATGTCTGTGTTGTTGTCCTCGGTTATTTGATTAGAAAAAAACTCTTTAACTTATGTGTTGGTTTGTGTGTATGGACTGCCTTATACAAATTTCAGTCCGCCCCCCTCGCCCACATTAACTGTCTATGGTTGTATATTTTTTTTTATTTTACGAAAACCGTTCTCTTTGATGGGTATAACGTTATTCCCATACTTCGATTACAGTGGCGGCGCCCGCCACACGGTGTTCGAAATGTTCACATTGAAGAAATCGTAGGCAATAAAAATCAAATATTAAAAACAATCGAAAAGTAGTCGTCCCAACCTCTCGCCCTGCGCATCATTTCCCCTTCATCAGGCGGTATCGATGAAAGCGACCGGATACCGTTGTCGAGATCAAAATGATAATAATTATATACGTTTTACGGAATGCGTTACCTCGTCTAATTTGGATCGAACCGCATCCGTTGTTGAGTTTAATCTTTTTTTGTGGTTCTTTGGCGGTTAGCGCTGTTGGCCGTTGTGAGATGGATAATCCCTACGGGGGCGGAGGAAAACACAAAACAATAAGTATATTATATATGTAACCCTCCTTGTATGCTATTATAATTAAGATAGTTATTTGTTATTCAAGGGTTGTTGCTGCTATAATTTACAGATTAAAATAGTAGTTACAACAGTTCACACCACTGCGGCAAAACCGTTGGGTGTTATTGTGATGGAAATAACGAGTACGGTATAATCTGTACCGGGGGCACTATCCGTTTTTATTTATTTATTCATTTTTTTTTGTTCTCTCTTTATTTTCAAGTACACACCTCGTCTTGTCTGTCGGTCACTTGTTTCCACCGCTAACGCCACAACGGCGCACGTAACCATTATAACAATACGTTAGTTTGTATTCTCCCCAACATTGTTATTATTAGCACTCTTTCTCCTCAACTCGCCTGTTGTCGGCGCACATTGTATTTCACATATCCGTGTAGGCCTGTATGTGTGTGTGTTGATCTCACCCACGTCTACCAGTGAGCGATGGATAGGCGTTTCATTTACACGATCTTCATATGTTCGTTTTTTACTCTGGAAACGACTAGACATTTCAGTGTGTATCGCATTAATAATACATGTTGCTGCGTTATATTGATATGTAAACCGAGTAGATAATGAGTACTACGTGCTTATCGAAAACTAACTACTACCGACAGCACTAAGTATAGGCACCGGCCGGAGAACTCTTTAGACTACCCGGGGTAAAAAATATTAAACGCGGTAAGTAAAAGAACTGGACGCCTAATTGACTGTAAACACAATGTATATTAATATTGGATCCATTATAGAGTAATATCGTCCTCGGATAGGTTTGGCTTTATAATGTACTTATATGTATTATGTACACTATTATTGGACGTCGTCGACATCGTCTCGTTAGCGCGCGTTCTCCGCTTATTATTTTTATAGCAGAGCATATAATTTTAATTTCGTTTTTTTGGTGGCAAAGAAGGGTAAATAGGTTGCGGGTCGGATGGTATCCGTTTTGGGACTACAACGTTAATAATTATTTATATATATATATATATACTGCTAGGCGATTGTCTTGAATGAGAAGAATAACACATTCCACACAAAAATCCGTGGTGATGATTGGGACCTCTTTTTTTTTCCCATTGATGTTTTTAAATGAGACCGGGTCCACATACACACCACGTGTCCTTTACTCGTCCGTCCCGGGACCAGTAAAAGGTTTTATTTTTTGCGTCCATTTTCGTGGAGGTCCATTCATGTTTCCGGGCAGGCAACATACATACTAGGTTCTCTTAGCCTCGATACGGTTGCCCGTGCAATGTGTGTTTGTATAAAAACAACTGACTCCTCTAGGGACGGCGGTGGTCTGGGGGGGGGGGCACGGGTTGCTGGCGAGTTCTTTACGAAACACCGTCGAAAGATGGCACCAAAAAAAACATAATAACATGTCACATAAAAATCGCATTTTAATAATTCTTCTCCTCGTTCATTCATAAAGACCGCCGTTAAAACGTCTTTCCTTTTATTCGAAGGTATGGGTACACCTTATACTTTCTAATTCAGGACAACAAAAACTACAACAGTCCACAATAATAATAATAATAATCTGGAAGAATGTCAAGATTGACTCGTGTGTGTACAATAATAATAATCCACTTGGAGTATCCGTTTTTGTCGTTGTGTTATTTACTCGGCTCGAAGAACTGGAGAAATCTACCAATTGGTTTTAAAGAACGACAAAATACACACGTGACTCGTTTTTGGGTTTTTTTTTTTTAATCCAAAACTAGGTTTTTTTTGCTTCAAATTTTTTTTTTTAATCTATGGGATTAAAGCGTCGCGTCGCGCAGGTAGTAATTCGTTTTTGTCTGCTTATAATTCCAAAGACCTGTTTTTTTCTCCGGGTCATATTGGCGAACAGCAGAAATCTCTTTATTGATTATTATTATATAAAAATCCAAACGCGCACGTCCACGAATCACAATGTAGTGTAACATACACGTTTTTAACTATTATTATTAATTCTTAATACGGTGTGTATATTATTATTTTAAGTCTTTAAATTATAAGGATAATGGCTACTGCTAACATGACTGCCGTCGGCAAGACAAAAACAATGTACGTAGCTATTTACAGACCAGTGCGAGACATTGTATTAAAGATTTTACATTACATTTTTCTGTTGTTCATTATTCGATTTTCTTATGTATCATATAAACCGGTAGATTTATAACAGGTTGTCACACAATCCCTTTGGCTGTTTATTTTTTTCAGTAAAACCAGTTTCTTTTCATCATCAAAAATGTAGGTATTTCTCTCCATCACTTGTTGTGTAGATGAGAAAGGTCAGTATTATTTAGGTTTAAAAAAAAACCCTGTATTTTGTTTTGGTAAATACACGTCATTGATTATTTTTGGATCATTTTCGTTTGAAATTGTTTTTGTAAACTTGTCTCGTAATCTATTTTTTTTTTCGGAGTTTGTTTTAAATTTTTAAAAGGGTAACGATAGTGTGCCCCATAAACAAGTTGTTATTTATATAAGGAAATAAAATAAGAAAGTTATCACAATAAAAACATACATTTGATCATCAAATGGCGACTTGAAAATGTTTTTCATTTTTCAATACTTTAATTGTTTATCGATGAAATCATCAATGTACAAAAATATAGCATTCTATATACTTAAAAAAAATGTGTGCGTAGCTTGTGTTTAAATATATCTACAGTTGGCTCCAAGTACATATATACAAGTACAGTTTGATTAACTTTTTGATAATTAAAACTAATTTGGTCAGTTCTAATTGCACATCCATAAATAATATTTTGTTGTATTGATATTTAATTATTCTTTCAATTAAATATTTAGAGAACCTGATAAACTGTCAAAAAATGTACACAGAACAAATAAATCTAATTAAAAAATATCATTTGGTGAGATTTATTTTGAGCATTATAATATAATGTTGAGTTATTTCACGGGAAATGATTGTCATATACCCTAGCAAATACATGGTCAATAATTGCGCCGGTACCCAGAGCCGCATTTCTCCGAATCTATTAATTTGGGACCTCGGGAATGTTTTTGAAATAATGCCGATGACGTTGGTTTAAGATGTATTGCTTTTGTTGTGCGCAAGGTCCCTGGACTGTTTGCCCGTCTGCTATTTGAAGGGCGTGTTGTGTCGGCCAGGTCTGAGCGTCGGCGGTGAGCATGTCTTCCCGGGCATCCTTGTGTAAAACCCTGACCCTGTGTTATACAAACTACAATGTATAATAATATGAATGTTTTCTTCTG